ACGGTCTGGCGGCAAGGCCAGCGGTCCTGTAGTCGATCGAGGCAATCGACTCCGGGACACAGTCTGGCGGCAACGTTGGCGGTCCAGAGCGCATGTCGTTCCGAACCGCCTGTCTTACCATGGCGCGGCCTCGCGACACCCCGCACGCCTGCGAAAGAGGCAGTTACCTCCAGAACACAGTCTGGCGTCAAGGCCAGCCATTTGCGAGGCGCGAGGCCCCGAGTTGCTTTCGCCTGCCCGGTCGCCTTTTGCCACGGGCCGCGCCCGCTCTTGTGATTGGCCGCTCCCATGGTAGACTTGTCTATTGGTCCCACTGGTCCGACATTTGCAGCAGACCTCGCCTTCCACGCGTCCCCCATCCCGTGGCGTCTGCCGCCCCCTCCCCCTCCCCGTCCTCCTCGCGCCCGCCTCCCCCGCGTCATCTTCACTACCCCATCCCTTCCCCTCCTCCCTCACCGAGCGCCGTGTCAAACCTGGATGCCGCCACACACGCCCACGTATCTCGCACGCGGGAGCGCGGCCAGGTAGGTGGACATAAAGGCCGCCACACATTGTGCACACCCCCATTCCCACCCCCAACCCCACTCCCACCACTAAGGTGATCTTTGCATCACGGTCCAGCCTCACCACACCAGCCTGTCCGCAAGCTCCCCCCGCACACAAGGTCCTCCTCCACCCTGCATCTTCGGACCCTCTGTGGTTGGGTGCGCCCCCGCACTGCCGAAGGGCCGTGGCAGCAAGGATGGTGCCAACGAGCTCACGCGGCCTTGGCAGGTGTCAAGATGCCTTTCCGCACTGGAGCCGCAGTGCCTTGGCCACGGTGCCTGGGCCATCACGATTCGTTGGCACAACCCATGCGGTATGGACCCAGATGGCCCCAGGCCATGCCCTACATCGGGCCACCGTGCCCTTGAGGGTGGTGCTCCAGGAAACTGGACCCACCAACGGGATTCAGGCGGCCCTAAGCCATTAACATCGAGCTCCTCCTCCTCCTCCCCTCCTCCTCCCCCTCTTCCCCCTTGCTCCCATCACTCCCTTGCCTCCTCATCGCCCTCCTTCTCCCGCCCACCCCGTGCCAGTCATGCTCATCATCCGGTATCTTATGGTAATGGGGCGGAGGAGAGAGATGCTGCTGATGATAAGGAGGAGGACAGGGGAAGGAGGAGTGACCGCAGGATGACGTGGAGGATGAGGATGATGACCATGAGCTCGGAGAGGAAACGATTTTGGGAGTCGCTCCTCCTCTTCGCCCTGCTCCTCCTCGTCCTTCTCCCCCTCCTCCTCCTCCTCCTCCTCCTGCTCCTCCTTCCCCTCTCATGGGGAGGATGAGGGAGATGGCGGGCAGGCGTGCCAGAAGGAAGGTGAGGAGGAGGACACGTAATTATGACTGATGGGGGCGCAAGACGGAGGAGTGCCACCTCTACCTACTCATCAGCATCGTCGTCTCTTCTGTTCCGCGTGCTGACAGCATTCCTCCTTAAATCGCTGCTCCCCTCCTTCCATCTGAGAGAGAGGGAGAGAGAAAGAGAGAGAGATACGTAGACAGAGAGAGAGAGATAGAGCGACAGAGGGAAGAGAAGACCGAACATGATGCTGGCGAGGAGGAGGAGGAGGAGGAGGAGGAGGAGAAAGACTATGGGGAGGAGGAGGAGGAGGAACTGCGTGAGCAGGATGAGGAGGAACGGCAGGACGATACTGGGGCGGAGGAGGAGGAGGAGGAGCAAGCGGAGTTACTCCTCATCATTATCATCGTGCTGCTCCTCCGCCGCTCCTCTGACCACGTCTCCTCATACTCCTCCTCAACTTGCTTCTCCTCTTGATCGTCATCTTCATCCCTTTCCTCCCCGCCACCTCGCCTCATGAGAGATGCAGGAGGAGAGGGAGGCCATGAGGAGGAGAACGTAGAGGAGGAGGGGGAGTGGTACACACATACATCTATAGGCGGGAGAGAGAGGGAGAGATTGAGAGAGAGAGAGAGAGCGAGGAGAGAGAGAGAGAGAGAGAAGGAGAGATAATCAAACATATACATCATGAGAGGGAGAGAAATAGAGGGAGAGAGAGAGAGAGAGAGCGATTGAGAGAGAGAGAGAGAGAGAGTGCTGGTCACGAGCATGCGTGTTCGGCCTCGAACCTCTTGTCGTACGCGTTGTGGTTCTACTACGTTGATGTCGCTTTCCTTCAGAACGCAGGGGGCCAAACGAGCTTCTAATGATCTCTATATTGCGGGAAGTGCCGCCTTGAAACGACGACCGTTTGAGAGTCCTTAGTCGTACCAGAACGCCGCTCCCGGGACTCCGATGCCGCGAATCAGCGTGACTGCTGCGCCCTGGCAGTCCTGACCCGTGCAAGAGCACCATTCCTGGAGCTGCAACCCTGGGCATCTCTGAGACCGTGACAAGCTTTTGAGACAAACGTGCGCGGCGCTAAGGCCACGGCCACACTTCGAAGAGGAGCCGCCCTTGGTTGAGAGTTGGAGGACGAGGGTGCGCCGCGCCAGGGCTGAAACCAACGCTTGAAAAGGACCCGCCCTCCATCTTTGAGTCCGCTGCGAACTTTGAGGACGGTCTTGCGCGGCGCCGGGGCTAGAGCCACATTTTGAAATTGAGCTGCCCTTCGCCCTTGAAGCTGAAACAGACGGGCGTGCGCTGCGCTTAGGCGAGAACCAGCATGTGAGAAAGAATCCGCCCTCCATCTTTGAACCTGTTGCTTACGTCTAAGACGAATGCGCGTGGCGCGAGAGGGCGAGCCACATTTAAAAAAGGACCCCCCCTTCATCCTTGACGTTGTTGCAACTTTCAAGCTTCAGGACCACAAGTGGTGAGGAGGTCTCAGGCGAACCGCAGGGCCCGCCCGACCGACACGTCTGTGGGTGCGCCCAGGAGGAGTTATTTATCCGGAAATGGGACAGATGAGGCGGAGGAGTAGGAGGAGGAGGAGGAGGAGGAGGACCAGATTAAACCCAAGACTCATCAACGATATTGCAAGAAACCCTCCATCCGCATTTCATCTCCGCAGGCCCCTGCAGTGATTCATTTTCAGTGAAGAAAGTGCCCTGTTGGAAGACAATCGTTGGAAACTTACCAACCGTGCCAGAACACTATTCCTGGGACTTCAGCGCCGCGAGTCGCCCGTATCGTTGCGTCTTGACGATCCCGAATCGTGTCAGAACGCCACTCCAGAGACCAACACGAATCAACGTTTCTGTCGCGCCCGCGACCGGGAGGAGTTATTTATCCAGAAGTGGGACGGATGAGGCGGATGATGATGTTGATGATGATGTTGATGATGGTGGTGGTGGTGGTGGTGATAATGAGGATGAGGAGGAGGAGGAGGAGGATAACCATTGTAAACCCACGATGCATCAACGATATCGCAAGACACCCTCCATCCAAGTTCTCTCTTTGTAGGCCCCTACAATAATCATTTTCAGTACAGGAAGTGCCCTGTTGGAAGACAACCATTTGAAAATCGTCAATTGCGCCAGAACGCCATTCCTGGGGCTTCAGCGCCGCGAGTCACCCGCAGTGTGGCGTCTTGACGATCCTGAGTCCTGCCAGAACACCGCTCCTGAGACCTCAGCACCATGAGTCAGCGCAGCTGTCGTGCCCTGCCAATCCGACGTCGTACGCTAGCGATGGGACAGCCCGAGGCTGCTGTGAACTCTCAGAACACATTTGCGCGGCGCTTAAGGGGAGCGCCACGTCGTGAAATGGAGCCGCCCTCCATCCGTGGATCTCGTGTACAGAAGTCAAGGCGGATGTGCGCAGCGAGGCGATGCGCAGCGAGGCGAGGGCCACGTCTTGAGAGCGACCTGCTGCCCACCTCGTGAAGCTCGTGCACCTTTCGGCAACGAGTGTGCGAGGGCAATCTTTTGGAAGCGATCTGCCCTCCCCCGGCGAAGATCCTGCAGGCATTTTGAAGAAGGATCTGCGCCGCGCTGGGGCGGCATCCACAGTTTGCCAGCGACCCGCCATTTCATCCGTGAGAACTTTTCAAGGCGAGCGTGCACGGCGCTGAGGCGCGAGCCATATATTTTGAAAACGACCCGGCCTCCACCCGTGAAGCTCTCTGCGAGCTTTTTTGAGACGGATGTGCGCGGCGCTAAAGGTGAGAGCCACATCTTGAGAACGACCCTCCCTCCATCTTTGAAGCTGTTACAATTATCTAAGCTTTAGGACCAGAAGTAGCGAGGAGGTCTCAGGCGAAACGCCTGGCCCCCCCTTTCGATAGGCCTCGTGGTGTGAAGCGGAGGAGTCAGTAAAGAGGAAAAGGAGTGGAGGAAGAGGAGGAGGAGGAGGTGGACGACCTTGATTTTTTTTGCGGATGGTTACTTAACTGTTGTTGACCTCCTTGGGTCCTTCGTGGCCACGGCTGGACACGGCTCGAAAAGCTTTCCGTCGCTGATTCCGAGACGGGTCCACAGACAAGTTTGGAACGTGTTTTGCTCCTGGGGTGGGGCGGGCGGGGTGGTCTTCTTTGAGCAGGCGTGGGGTCTCCTCGGGACCTGCCGTCTTTCACCGGGCCTGGCCAGAAGCGTCCGATCCCTCCTGCGAGGAAGCCCCCCCTGCCTCCCTGGAGGGCCGTTCCCCTCTCGCCCCACCCCGCTCGGCTTGGAGCGTGTCTCTTTATCGCTTGGGGCATAGTGGGCATTATGCAGTCAACCCGCATAGTACGGATGGGCAACCTTCCCAAGAGTACCCATGCATCCCTGCCTCCTCGGTCCATCATTCGCCACTTTCGTTAGCCGCGCCCCGCTCGAAAGCTTCGAAATGGCATTCCAAGGCCCTTGCATCCTTACCGCGCATCTTTGTTATACGGGTTGACTGTAGCCCCCGACCCCCCTCCTCCCCCCCCTCTAACGTGACGCCCTCCCCCCCCCCAGTGCGCTCCAGGCACTGCCGCCGTGCGCATCGGGCACACGGCGGGGGGGAGGCGTTACATTCCTTATGATGCCCATTGTCGCCGAAAGTAAAGCTACGCGCTCTTTCTTGTCGCCACAGGTTGCGGCGCAGGCGGGCGAGGACCCGCATGCCCAGGACGCCGGGCCACGGGGCCACCACCTGCAGCAGCAGCAGCCGCAGCAGCAGCCGCAGCAGCAGCACCAGCAGCAGCACCGGCTGCAGCCGCAGCAGCAGCAGCAGCAGCAGCCGCAGCAGCAGCAGCAGCAGCAGCAGCAGCAGCAGCAGATGCCAGTGCAGCCGCAGCAGGGCCAACAGCACGGCTGGGAGCAGGTGCCCGGATTTGTCAGACCCAGAGATCCAATGTATTGAAAAGAGCAAGACGGAGGTTTTTCGTATTTTTCGGCCTCGAGGGGCCCTCGCCGGGCCCCGGGACCGTCAAAAAACGACTCAGGATGAAAAACCGGTCCTGGGGAATGGGTCGAGACTTCCAGGGACCCTGTCTTGAAAAAATCACGACATCAGATCTTTGTGGAGGAGGATGGCGTGCGTCCCGATGCCGATGCCCTTCCCTCGCGTCCGCCTCGGTATGCTTCCTGGCGGCTCTCGTTGCCGCGGCCGGAGTCGCCCCTGAATCCTGGTCAGAGGTCGCCCTGGGAGAGGTGCATGGTGTAGCGGCATCCTTCTCTCCTCGTGTACCGCCCCCCATTTCTGGTGCCTTGAGTTTTTCGACACCCGCGGTGCCCCGAAATCTCGGGCTCTTCGGAGCGTCAGCGGGCCCCGGAGCTGTCAATTACAAAACGTCGGGGGCGGCCAAGTGGGGGGTGATGACTAGGGGAGGGGGGGTGGATCTCATGGCGTGGGCCGTGATATCTCCCCGGATTTCATGGCGTTTCTTCTCATTTCAATGCGTCCCTTGGCCGCGCACATGCCGCTGGCTATGATTTTGCGCCCCCCCCCTCTTGGGACGCCACCCCCTCGGCCGACCCCGAAAGCGAGCTGGCAGCGAAAGGCCGGCCCCTGGCGGAAGGGCAGCGGAGGAGGGCCCCCCCGGGGGGCCCACGCCGCGCGGCCGACGAGACGCGCGACGCCATAAGTCTGGGGTCCCGCAGGCCTGGATGTGGCCCGGCCCTGGCGGGGGCGACATGGGCAGCCACGGGCAGGGCGGGGGCGACGGCTACGGAGCCCTGGGCCACGGGTCATCGCCGACCATGTCCGGCCACCGCCCGGCGGGCATGCACGGCCACACCATGGGCGGCGACCTGAACGTGTACCAGGCGACGCGCGCTGGCTGAGCGCCGAGTGGGCGACTGAGCGCGGGGCTGCGTGAGCACCTCCGCGCGCCCGCGCGGGCGCGCGCGCCCGCGGCGCACCTGGCCAAGATGGGCGGTGCCCGGCGCGATGGAGCCGCGGCCGAAAGCGCGCTTCGCTGGCAGGGCCGCTTTCCCCCCCTCGACCGATGACCCATGGAACGGTAGATGGCCCAGTGTACAGTGGGGGCCCATTCTAAGAAACACCCTGCTTGTCTCCAGGGTGTCCTGGGTTTCGTTACATTTCGATGGTTTTGCCATGGGAAGCGCGACGTTCCCACACGAAACATCGATGCACGTCCTGGGGTCTCAAGGTTGGGTTTATTGTGGAAGGTTTCTTGTGGTCGGGCCTCCACTGTAGGTGTTTTGCGGGCCTGCTTCCCCGGATCGCTTCTACAGGTGGGGCTGCACGTAAGAGTAACCCTATGCCAGGGTGGCTTTTGGTGCGTGCCCGCACGGATCCCCCCAGCACTGCCATGTGTGCTTGGATTTGTGCTTCCGCGACCGCTTGAAACCACGCGCCAAAGGTCACCCTTGCTCAGATATTTTTTTCAATGCGCGGCCCCAGAGTTCCCGATTATTTCCCTTGGGATACTTGTTCTTCCCGGATTTACTCCCAAGTAGGTTTGCCTCATGGGTTTCTACTTGGTGAAAGGTTGGTGCCTCGGGGGCTTACTTGGCATGTTCCCTGGAGATTCCTCGGGTTCCCCGGGTTTTCCGGGTTCCCCGGGTTCCCCGAGTTCCTCGGGTTCCCCAGGTTCCCCAGGTTCACCGCGTTCCTCGGGTTCCCTGGGTTCCGCGGGTTCCCCGGGTTCCCCGAGTTCTTGGCTCCCCCGGTTCCCCGACGAGTTCCCAGGTTTCCTTGGGCTCCCCGGGTTCCCAAGGTTCCCGTTGTCCTCGGGTTAAACGGGTTCCCAGAGTTTCTTGCCCCCGGTGCCTCGTATTCTCATTGTGCCCGTTACAAGCACTGCTAAGCAATGCCAAGCAATGTCAAGCAATGAGAAGCAATGCTAAGCAATGCCAGGCAAGCAATGCCAAGAAATGCCACGCAATGCCTTCCTGGTTCCCCTGGTTCCCCGGGTCCCCAGGATCCCCACCCTGACCCCTGTATGCGTCATTTTCGTTGTTTGTCCCAGGGGGCCTTCATCAGAAATGACGCCCCGAGGCGTCATTCCTGGAAAATGCTGCGTGCCTTGTCTTTAGACTTGCGGGACGGTTCGTTCGCCCGCGGCTTGCGATTCCAATCAAATCCTAGGGCCTGGTTAATGGCCCGTGAAGGCCGCAGACGTCGGAAAAACGAAAACTAAAAAAAACTAATCCTCCCTCCCTCCATCCATCCATCTCTCCCTCTCTCTCTCTTTCTCTTTCTTTCTTTCTTTCTTTCTCTCTCTCTCTCTCTTCCCCCCCCCCTCCGCTCCGCCCCATCTGCCGCAATCCGCCGCTGTGCCCGCAAGTGGCGACTGAGCGGAACTGTCGCCACTTTTGTGGGTCCTGGCGACGGCAGGGAGAAGAAGGAGAAACAAGGGAGAGACAGGAGAGAGACACCAACCAAAGGGCATCGTTCGCTTTCCTGTCCCAGGGAGGCTTGAATTGACATGATATACAAGGTGACCCCCAAGACGGCTAAGGTGGCCCAAGATAGCCTCCATAACAGCCCTATGAGCCCCATGAGCCCTATGAGCCCATATGAGCCCTATGAGAGCCCTACGAGCACTATGACCCCCTATTAACCCTACAGGCCTGATCTAACGACTAACCCTACAGACCCGAACCCTACAGACTATAACCCTACAGACACTGACCCTACACATCCTGACCCTACAGAGCCTAGCGTACAAACCCTAACCCTGCATACCCTAACCCTACATACCCTAACCATACAAACTCTACCGTACAGACCCTAAGCCTACAGAACCCTGCAGACCCTACTCACCCTACACATTCCAACCCTACATACCCGAACCGTACAGACCCTAACCCTACAGACCCTACCCCTTACAAACCCTACTAACCTACATGCCCTAACCTTACAGGCCCTAACCCTATAGACCCTACTAACTACAGGCCTTTTAACTCTACAGACTCTGACCCTACAGCCCCTGACCCTATAAGCCCTAACATTACAGACCCCACTAACCCTACAGACCCGAGCCCTACAGACTCTAGCCCTTCAGACCCTAACCCTACAGACCGCAACCCTACAGACCCAAATCCTGCATACTCTAACCGTACAGGCCCTACAAACGCTGCAGACCAAAACCCTGCTTTGGGCTTCCTGGGGGAATTCGGCATCCACCATCACCGTCATCGCCACCATCGCCGTCATCGCCATCGTCACCGTCGCCGTCCTTGTGGGGCCCCACTTGGCTTTCGGGGCTCCTGCCTTGTTGGGCCCTGAGCGCCCCGCCTTGGGCCCCGCCGTCAAGGCGCCTCCCTTTGGGACCCCCCCTTGGACCCCTCGCCGCGTCGTCGAACCATCGCCATTCTCACCGTCGCCGTCCCCGTGGGGCCCCACTTGGCTTTCGGGGCTTCTACCTTGTTGGACCCTGAGCGCCCCGCCTTGGGCCCCGCCGTCAAGGCGCCTCCCTTTGGGACCCCCCCTTGGGCCCCCTTGCCGCTGCTGTCGTCATTTACGTTCGCTTCAGTGCTGTTTAGGTGTATGGGGTTATAGGGTCTGGTCACCGCAGAAGCAGCCACAAACTTTTCCAACACACCCATAGCCATTTTGGCCCACGAGATTCTTGCGAGGTTGCGGGCACACATGCCCGCAACGCAAGGGGTGAATCTTACACCAGATGCCGTGGCGGATGTGCTGAGTCGAGTGCCCCCCTCGCAGTTCAAGGACGGCCGCTTCATTTTCTACGATAAGCTTGTATTCGGCAGGTCGCCCAATTGGTCCTCGGCGAAACCCCTCTCCAACGCTATAACTTGCCTGTTGGCTCACACAGAAGGCTGCCAAGCGAACCAACATCCGTTTCAGAAAGGTGCCGAGAAATACTTCCGCGACAACGGCATGACAATCCAGACTGGCGAGGTCGAGAAGTCAGTGTACAGGCTGCGAGCCCTGGTGTCCCAGCTCAGCTCTCAGAAGTTGAAGCAGAGACCCACCCTTGAGGCGTACGAGGAATACTTCAGCGTACCCATGGGCAAGATCAGGGTCACCCTGAAGTCGCCCATGGTCACGCGCTCGCAGACATCGATCGCCCCAGCGTGCGACGTGAGCGTGGAGGAGATCAGCAGCGACAGCGACGAGGCTTTCGAGTGGACCCACGACGAGCTCTTCTCCAGCCACGACCCTGACTTGGTGCTGCTTCTCCAATCGGCGACGGCACCGACTACGCCAACTACTCCAGCGACGTCGAAGCCAACAACTGGTGGCGACTCGGGCGGAGTGGAGCTCACCGAAGAGAAGAAGGGCTCCTCGCAGGCGCCGACCGCGCAGGCAGAGCTCTTCGACGAGACGGCGATCACGGTGCAGACCGAGCTGCACGACACGAAGATCGCCGAACTGATCGACAAGGCGACGCCGACCGGGCCGACCCAGCTGGCCGACGTGAAGCAGAACGGCATCCAGGCGGAGAGAGACGACATCAAAGATGAGAAGCACGACATCACAGGGGCTGGCATCCAGGAGAAGATGGATACCACCATCAGGGGGGACGATGACACTACGGGCGACACGCCGTCGTCGGCGTTGCCAGCCGAGTCGCCGCTGTCCGACCTTGAGTTGCAGAAGCTCTTGGCGAAGCCAGTCACGCCGCCAAGTAGCGGCGCTTGGAAGGAGTTGCAGTCACAGTTGAAAGCAGTTCGGAAGAGGCCAGCGGGCGCTAACATGAACATGAAACGGCCAGCCTCTGCTGCTGAAACTCAGGAGGCAGCTGGTCCGTCAACTGAGGAGGTCAGCTCAGGAGGCGTCAATGCTCCCGTTCCCGAGGAGGTTGACCCTGCGAATATGTCGCCAAAGGAATGGTCGAAGTTCTTGAACCGTGAGCACAGCAAGGTCTACTGCAGGGCGGTCGCCACTCTCAAGAAAACCCAGCACCTCGCATGACCGCGTCCTGCAGGCCGCTCAGGGCGCGGCCAGGGCCAGGACAGATGAGCTTCGCACCCAGTACCAGCGTCCTGCGAAGCGGGCCAAGCAGTCGCCCCACGGCGTCGGCAACAGTTGTGAGCGTGTCCTTCGACACGCTGGGGGCCCATGCAATGCGCTTTATATTGCACAATCACTTCTGTGCTGGCGCGTCGAAGCATGGGACACCTTTTCGAGCTCTTTCGAGCAAGAGCCTCACGCTCCGTCCTCATCCCCCTCGTCCACTTCCTCAACCTCGCCATCCTTCTCAGCCTGGCAATCCTTAGCATCGCCCTGTTCACCACCACCGCCACCCATTGTTATGGCCATCATCTTCAGAATCCCAATTGTCATGCTCATCATCGCGCCCGTCGGCATCCAGCATGTGTACAGTCATCCACGCCATCGCCATCTTCAACGTCATCCCACCATATCAGCTTTGGATCAAACAGTTTTTAGGAGCAGAGCGCGACGACATTTCCATGCCACCAGATCCCGAGCGCGATTGGCAAATGCAGCAGGAGGATTCCGCCCAGATGCAGAGAGAGGTTGGTAGCCCGATTGCGGTTCAGAGCGATTCACGCCACGAAGCTCCAGCTCTCCCGATTGACGGCGGCGAGGGCGTCGAGACCGTGGGCGTCCAGGACCGTTGGGGCCCACTTGCCGACGCCAGCAGGTGGGGCAGCTTCCGCGCGGTCAAGGTGGATGACGAGAGCAAGAAGATGATGTACCTCCTCGGTGTTTGGGCGCAGAGCAAGACATTTGACACTAGGTGCACGTCTTCCTTGCTTGAGGAGGTGGGCCCGCTGTCAAACGACATGGCGTGCGCCTACAGCCTCTTCCAGATGCATGCCCCTGCAGGGCCAGCCCCCGAGGATTCGTTCCAGCTCGAGCATTTCATCCGCGACACGTTGGAACCGCTGGCCGTTCGGTTCCACGAGTTCAAGGCGGTCATCGACAACCTCTTGCGCCCTCCCGAGAAGAAGCTGCGCCGCACCGCGTCGGGCCCCGTTCAGCCTGATGAAGCTCTCGCCGCCGCCAGTTCGAGCGCGCAGGAGGCAGAGTCGGTGTCCGAGTCGCAGGAGTTAGCGGGGCAGGCCCAGGACTCACAGCAGCTGCATGAAGAGTCTCAGCGGTAAGTCTTCCAGCCGAGCCCGAAGGCATGGCGAGCGGTGCGAAGGCGCCGCCTCGCCTGTAGAACACGCTGTTGTCAAATTAGTCTGGCTGAGTTCCGCGC